TCTCTCTTTCTCTCTCTCTTCTCCTCATTACCCCCTCTGTCTCACACACGTGTTTTTTGTTTGTGTTTGTGTTTGGTTTTTGTTTTGAGGCAGGGTCTTGCTCTGTCGTCCACGCTGGAATGCAGTGGCTCAATCTCAGCTCACTGCAACCTCCACATCCTGGGCTCAAGCCATCCTCCACCTCAGTCTCAAGAGTAGCTGGGACCACAGGCATATGCCAACATGCCCAGCTAATTTTTTGTGTTTAATAGAGATAGGGTTTTGCCATGTTGGCCAGGCTGGTCTGGAACTGCTGGGCTCAAGCCATCTGCCCACCTTGGCCTCCCACAGTGCTAGGATTACAGGCGTACCCACCGTGCCATGCGTCACACGCACACATTTCTAAGTACTCTCAAGAAAAAGAACAGGATGCTCTGAGAATATGTGGGGACAGGCCTGGGGTGGGGGTGGGGTTTGGATTGGGCAATTGGGACCCCACCTGAGGAACTAACATAGCTACCAAGAGTCTTTTTACTCTCTCTCTTCTGGCCCCCAAGTGGGTATTATTTGTTTAAAAAGTATTTCCAAAAGGCTTTGCTAACTACTGTGGGAGAACATAAGGTAGGGAAGTAGAGTAAAGGAAGCATAAAGCTGGGTAGCTTTATCCTGCTCACATTTTTTAGTACCTTGCTTGAGGCTGACTTACTTCAAGAGCTCTCCTGCCATTCTTTGGTCTATAAGGACCTCTAAGGAACCTGTACCTAGGTCACAAAGTATCACTGCCAGAGCCCTTACTTCCTGATTTACAATCTGAGTCTCATCATAGTTATGTTGATGATGGGATCCAGATTAAAAGAGTATTTCAAGGTATTTCAAAGACAGGACAGAAAAGTGTCTATAATTGTGTTTGTGGAATGGCTGTGCCAAATCAGATACTAAAAAATGAAAGTGCAAAGCACAGAAGCTGATTTAGTCCCGTTCTTCGCAACCCACCTTGCCCTTTCCCACCTGACTCTCACTTCTGTTCTGAGGGATTGACAGCCGCAGCTGCTGCCTCCTGCAGCGATAACTGTTATTCAGGGCATGCTGGCAGGTTTCAGCTGAGTCTGCATGACCCTTTTTGGGCAATGCTGTAGACCTGCTTCTGTAACATTTGGGACATTGTACTCAGTGGCCTCTATGATCCTTTCCAATTCCCGTTCCACAAAGGGATTTAAAAACCAGAGATAATCCTGTTTGTTTACTTGGGTTCTGCTTCAAAGCAGAAGACCTTAATAACCTTTTAAGGTTTTTTCCAGCCTTTCTAATTTTGAAGTTCCCATTTCTTTGGGCTTTGGTTAGAAATTCTATCGCTTTTCCCAATTTAACTTACAGCTTCACCACCAACTAGAGCTTCCATTTTAGAATGTTAGTAGCCAGCTCTACCAGAGTGTCTATGGGTTCCACACACAGCTTGTTTCCCAGTGAATTCCCAGTGAGGTGGTCAAGTCTAAATTTAAACTATGACCCTTCTGCCAGCATATGCAAGCTGGGGCTGCAAGAGCAAAATCAAAACTGGGCTGTTCTCAGGGAGATGTGTGTGTAGGAGTTAGAAGAGAAAGTGGACAAGGCTTCCCAAAAGGTAGACCAGCCCCAGGGGAAGAAGAGCAGGAGTTCAGGGTGGGGATAAGTGTAGTTATCCCAAGGGACTGTTGGAGTTTATTGTAGTATGGCTGGGTCCCTTGGAAAAAGTCAGCCAAACTCTCCATCCTCTCTGTTTCCTTTCAGTGTAAAGTATCAATGGCATAACTCACCTGGGTTTGTCATTACCATGGCTTCTTGCCAAGCATTATGGCACAATTATGTGCTCACCTTTGTCTTTTATTTATGCTCTGAGAATATGTGGGGACAGGCGTGGGGTGGGGGTGGGGTTTAGATTGGGCAATTGGGACCCCGCCTGAGGAACTAACATAGCTACCAACAGTCTTTTTACTACCCCTCAATGTCACAGATCCTTGGTTTATGGGCTATAATCTGCACATTATTTATATTGGTTTCAGCTCTTGTTTGGTTGCCTGGCTCACATCTTTGAGTTTTTCTGTATCAATGGGTGTATATTTCAAAGACAGAACAGGGCAGTGTCTATAATTCTGTTTGTGGAATGTCTTTGCCAAGTCAGGTAGTAAAAAGTGAAACTGCAAAGCATAGAAACTGATTTAGTTTGTAACATTTAGCTCATTATGATTTAGTCACACCTCCAATTTATATTTATGTTTGTGATTAGCATCCTATACCATGAAATTTATATATATGATATCATATATGTGACTATGTATGACATTTTTAGAGTAGTATCAGATTATGATTCAAATAGAGCAATCTTTGTTATTCTGTTTGATTGCTATTGCTAACATATATTTTCTAAGTAGCCTAGAGACAGGTTTGGAGAGTGCACGCATCTTTCTAAAATGCCCCAGCCCGAAGTAGAGAGGAAATCCAGATCCCAAAGCTTCTGAAACTGGGGTTCTAGCACTCTCTGAAAGTGCCCAGGTTAGAATCACAAACAGGGCTTTGACTAAGAAGGAACATGGGCCAGTTGGCCCTCTTGTGCTCACGTGTCATTTTCTGTAAGTAAGCTAGAGCCTTTTATGGACAATTCCCTGTCTTTAGCTCAGACCTCTAAGCACCAAGCATGGGTTGGGAGGGTCTGACTGAGTCCCCCTCCTGACATTAGAGCTTACTCTGTGTGGCATTAGTCTGGTGGCCTAACTTTAGGGCAATTTCTTCATCTGTACACTTGGGGAAATACAGGCATCTATCCCTGAGGGTGGTCGTGAAGATATCACTTACAGTAGTTCCTGGCTCCCTGGCATATGGAGTGGACTCAATAAGTGTTAGCTTGAGAACAGTAACATTCTTCCCATTATCAGACATTTCTCTAACTTAGAGGGTAATAGTTTTAAATGAGCCATTATGTAGGATGGGAGTTGATTAGTGACTATTTCTCAAAGCTTTTAAGGGAAACAGACTTGTAACGTAGGCCTCAAACTACTGGCCTTTTGCCCAGGTTTTGAGCCCTGGGAGTGTCCCTGTTCAAAACAAGTTGCTGATCTGGTAGATACTATGGCTGATTCACAGTGACAGTTTTTATTAAAAAGGGATGAACGGTCTCCTCCCTATTCTAGAAGGCCAATGTGTTGGATTTTTAAGTAATTCTTCAGCGGGTCACTCTTAAGGACCTTTATATTTATTTATTAGTTTAGTTCATTCTATTATCCTGTATTCATGTTCAAAGCTGATGATCTTGAATGTATTCCTTTAGTTACTACAATTATCTGCTATGCTCTGGTAAGCATCTGCCTTTTATGGCTCAGAAGTTTCTATTCTGGCCAGTGCAGTGGTTCATGCCTATAATCCCAGCACTTTGGAAGGCCAAGGCAGGCGGATTGTTTGAGCCCAGGAGTTTGAGACCAGCCTAGGCAACATGGAGAAACCCCATCTCTAGAGAAAAAAACAAACAAAAATTAGTTGGGTTTGGTGGCACACACCTGTAGTCCCAGCTACTCAGGAGGTTGATAGGGCAGTATGACTTGAGTATGGGAGACAGAGATTGTAGTGAGCCAAGATCACACCACTGCACTCCAGCCTGGACAACATAGCAAGACTGTCTCAAAAGCAAATACAAAAAAAAAAGAAAAAAGAAATTTCTATTCTGTTGTCAGCAACCCATCAAAAAGCTTATTGTATTCTGTAACCATACATACCAGTTTTTGGCAAAAAGAAACGACATGTTGGCTAAATATCCCATTGGTTAGATTTATAGCTTGCAGTAGTGTTTTCACAATAGTGAAAATCACATATAGACCTTCATGTTCAGCAGGAAGGAAGAAGTCAGGAGTCCCCCAAATTGCCTTTCCTTGGTGCTGTCTACCCTGAGTTAGGTCATATGCCCATCCTTGAATTAACAGTCCTCTGAGTGAAATATTCCTCTTATTGTGGAACCCACCCTGGGGGTGGAGACTCAGCAAGGACAGGGCTTCAACTCACAAAGCTGCGAAACTTGGTGTGCTCCCATGAAGAGAGATGGATGCTGGGGAGGCTGCAACAGATGTCCTCTATGTCAAGTGTCAACCTAGGACCTGTAGTCTAATGAGAAACTATGATGAGTTTAAGAACTGAAATCCCTCTGCCTTCCCTGTTGTATGTGCCCAGAGGACAGAACCACCAGCTCTTCTGAAGGAGTGAGGAGGATGTGTTCAGGGGAGGCCTTGTGGAAAGGTGACCCAGAGCTGGGTCTTAGAGGGTCAGGAGGGATGTTCTCCATCTGAGTTAGGCAAAGAAAATGGCACCAGGAAGGACATAGAGACCTGGATAGAATGGAATATCCATGGAAAGGATGAACAGATAGCAATTTATGGTATGTTACTGTAGCATCTCCTTAGGTCTTCAGCTTTTGGGAGTCAGCCTGCACATTTCACAGATGACAAAGCCGAGGCTCAGAGAGATTAAATGATTTTCCCAAGAGTACTTAGTTTGTGTGTTGAGTCCTGGTTTCATCTCACTTGCCCTTCTAGACCCAGTGCATTCCAGTTTTTGCTTTTTTGATTTTTTTGAAATTACTGCAGTGGAATCTAGTGCAATTCCACATCATGTGCCTGATACCATGGGATGGCTTAGCACTTCCAGAAGCAGCCTTTTCTTGTGTGGCATTGTTTTTATTTGCATATGTAAACCCTGTGCCGCCAAAGCTCTTAACACAAGCATTGCCTGGCATACACACACGCACATACTTTTATACCCTAAATAGCAGAGGCCTGGAAATGTTTGTCTACTTTTGCCAACATCTGACTGTGATTATCTTTAACCACAGTCACATTTGTTTGTCTCCTAAAATAGTATTGACTCTCCAGAGAAGGCTGTTTCTAGTCATCAAAGCCTTCCCAGAAATCTGTCTCCTTCTACCTGCCTCCGCTTCTAATTGACTCACTTAATTTTCTTGTTCCCTATGTCAACACTCCTGAACCCTTCCTTAAAATTCACAGTCCTCTCCTTGTGAGAGTATTGGATTTTACCTCCCAGAGCCCACTTGTTGACTCAGGGAACTGAACTGAAGTGTGGCTCTCCTTGAGATGTTCATCAGCTTTTCTTCTTTCTTGTCTCTGGCTCTGCCCACAGCCATGACAATATGCGGTGTCAACTTCCTCAGAGGGAAGTAGCCTAAAGGCCAAGCTGTGTCTGACCTGTAGGGAGGGACCCAGTCAGTTTTTGAAATGGAGCATCTCTCCCCACAACTCTCCCACCAGCATGGATATTAAAAATGTGTGTCCCGGGCCCGGCGCGGTGGCTCACGCCTATAATCCTAGCACTTTGGGAGGCCGAGGCGGGTGGATCACAAGGTCAAGAGATCGAGACCATCCTGGTCAACAAGGTGAAACC